ATTTAACTGTAATAGTTATTCTGTATAATGATTTCCATTTTTGTGTGTATTATTTTAGATAACAATTGTTCTTTCCTTTTTGCTCATCAATAAGTATCCATTTTAGTCAGATTCATCCATTCATTCTTTTATTCATTGAGAAAATAGGGAATCTCTCCTCTCCCAGGCTTTGAGATATAGCCCGCAAGAAACATGCAAACCCAGGTACTTAGGGTATATTTCACTGCAGTGAATTGGACAACAAATAATTAGGATACAAACAGCATGCCAGACAGTAGGCAATGAGATGAAAGGAAAAAAAAAAAAAAGCGAGAGAGAAGTGAGTCCTGTTTGCCTGTGTCTGTAACTTTGATTGGTATATTATATTCACATAATTCTAAAATTTTTGTTTGACATCAATGTTTTATTGCTTACAACAGGGGAATCAGGTGGGCAGAAAAGGACAGAGGAGAAGAGGAGACAGGAAGAAAATAGAACTTTCAAGAAAGAGAGAGACCTTGCACCTAGCAAGGGGATGTGACAAATGCCTCCTCCACATAGAACTTCACATTTCTTGTAGTCCATTTATCATGGATAACTGATCAGAAAAGCCCAAAACACTCTTTTGTTGACCTAAACCAGCATCTTCAGGGCCTTCCTCTAGAGAAGTGATGAAATTGAATACTTTAAGTCTTTCTCACGTCTATTTATTTTCTGGCCTCTCTTGGGTTCATCCATCAGGCTAAAAGGGTTTCCATGCTGAGCTCTAGTCACTCATTTTTCAAGTGTTACAACATAAAATTGAAACCTTAAGGGATATTTTTGGTCACCAAATAAGTTTAAAACAGATGAAATTCTTGACATCCAAAATAAGAAAAAGGAGATCATGTGGATTACAATGTGAATGGTGCTGGGGGGTGGGGGAAGGCACTTTTCATAGTGTACCTCCTCTAGCATATAGACTTGCTATATTATGTATCAAATACAAATAATGCTCATTTGACCACTGAGTGCATTTTAGAGGAGGAAATAAAATGAGCTCTTCCCATGAACCCTTTTGTAATATTAGTTACTTCATTATCACCCACCACATTTCAATCTCTGGGTCTCCTCAAATGCAAAAGGCTGCATAGGAAAAAGTCATGGAAATGAAACACACAAACTGCAAATGAAAAACAAAAGGAAATCAAAAGGCTATTTAAAATTTTCTCCCTTAAAAATACTTGCTGTGAAAATGAGGTAGATTGAAAAATAGCAAGGAAACAAAGTAAAAAAAAAGGAAAAAAAAAAACTATGTTGATAAAGGGCATGACTTGCACTTACACCTAAGATAAATGAATCACAGAAAGGTGACATCCATTGGCCAATAAATTACATCTGAAAGGAGACTAATACCAAGGTAACAGCTGAAATTAATTTTTCCAACTAACCAATTAAATACAAATGTAATAGTTTCAGTTTTTTAACTAAAAGGTGATAACTCTCAGTATAGAACCACTTTGAAAATGTATGGACTGATTATTCTATTCACTAAACTTAACTCTAGGAGAAATTCTTCAGTTGTTCTCAGTGAGTAGGAAGAATGCTAACCAAGCAGATATGTCAGAAATCCATCTTTAATCACTTATATCAAAACATTATTGTAGTTATTAAGCCTAGTTTTCCTACTGCCATTGTTGAGTAATTTATGTAACCATGTATCAATCTCATCTTGAAAATAACTGGTTCCAAGTATGAAATGTTCTTAAGTGGGCCAACTCCTGGAATATTCTAATTCTAAGATACTCACACTGTGTGACAGATTGTCAGAGCCAGACTGCCTCTATATGGATTCAATCACTTACAGGAAATCATTTTTCCCCCTTGGGGAGAAATTTATCTATCCCAGTCTCTCTCTAATAATATATTAGGCAAGGTTCCAAGGATTGCTGGTCAGAATTAGTCATACAGTGCATTTTTAGCTTTCAGGGTTGTCTACTGCTATCTTTCACTTTGACTTACCATCTTCAGAAATCAAACCCTGCTGATTCTCATTCTAGGTACAGAGCTCCCAATGAAGACAGCATCCTCATTGGAAATCAGCAAGTGCAAGTATCTCATTGTGATTTTGAATAGCAGCTCATATATGAAACCAAAGTTTGCTTTGTCTGGCTATTAGTCTAGTATGTCTGGCCTGGGTCTTCTGGTAGAAATCCTGAGGTCTCTGGTTAGACCTCAATTTTGTCAACTTGTACAGTGATAAGCTGTCTGATGTCAGCTTGCTGCAAATCTTGACACCATGTAAGCTATGTTTTATGTGAAACAACTGAATTTCGATGAAAATCTACTCGGATGTATTTTGAATGGTGTGAGTACTGAAAAACTGGGATAAATTTAGTTTATGTAAGTAATACACTTCAAACATTAAAAGGCCATCCTTTGTTTCATCTCCCCAGAATTCTCCACTTTGTCATCTTTTTCTGTCCTCTACATGGATGATCAGGCCAGAGAGAGATGTTTCTACTGTACTGGAAGGAATGATAGGGAGACTATAATAGGGAGAGACCTCAACACTGCCTTTAATTCTACCAATGCAATGAAATATTTTGTGGAAGAAGTAATGTTTTTCTGAAAAATCAGCTGTACTAAATACCAAACACACTGATACATACTTCTTTAGAGTCTTATGTTTTGATCTCATAAATCTAGATAATACTAAAAATACATTTTCTACATGATATTGCATTACCATGCTAGCTTAAATAGCATAGGTAGATTAGTTGTAGCAGGCACATACTAGTCTTCAGGTAGAATGTATAAAGACAATTAAACATTTTTCTAATTTTATTATCATATTTATAGGTAGTGATGCATTGTAGGTTTTTTCTTCTTTTTAAATATAACAGGATAATGAACCTAAATTTACCTTACAAATGTAAAGAAAACCCAAAGAGAACAGTTTCCTTTCTACCATGTGCTGGTACAGATTTACTCATGCTTTTGTTTAATAATATATATTTTTAAAAAAAGCACAAGGAAGCTAGACTTCCTAGGCTAATTATAAACTGGCAACTTCCATGCTTGTTTGCTTACTTGAAATTTCTCCTAACCTAAATTGTAAATGCTAGAGAAAAATCTAAGACACATGATTTAATATATAAAAATATCCAATTTTTTCAAGCTTAATAAAATTAAGACCAATCATGTTAACGTCTTTCATTTATCATTTGTAGAGGTACTAATCTAAGCATTTTTATCTTAACATAAAATTTTATGGTTAGAGCTCTCAGTAAACCAGAAAGGGGATAAGTGGATTCACACATGTGTATGAAACTATGAATGAAAAAGAATAAGTAATGTTAGAAAACTGAAGAGTAGTCTGGAAACCAGGTGTGTGTGTGTGTGTGTGTGTGTGTGTGTGTGTGTGTGTGTATCTGTGAATAGAAATAAGTCGGACATAATAATTAAAGCCTTAAAGCAGATTTAGAACACTGCAGTGTTAGAACTTATAATAATCTGCCCATGAATTGAACCCATAATAATAATCAACCTATGATAATCATCCAAACTTTCTTAAATGGTAATATTTACAATCATTTGCAGTTCCTAAAACTGATAAATAAGGAAATGAAAGAAACTCTTTAATGGTCCTTTTTACACTTTCCATTTGTTATGTTATTGCTGGTGTTAGGCTATAAAGATCTACATCTGTGTTCTCAGATAAATATTATGGATATTCACATTGCCCAGGTTAAAACCTGTAGCTTAGAGAAGTTAAGTAATTTGTTCTAGAACTGGCAGCAACTATATGGTTGAATAGACACTAAAGCAACAAATTCTGCTAACTTTCTAGTATATCACAAAATATTGATAATTGTCTCCATAGACATGCTCATTTATTTGTTAATTTTTGAGAAATTTGTAACAAAATCCAAATGTAACACAAAAAATACTCTGAATACTAGCACTTCTTTAATTATATTATACAATTTCATTTTCTTTCTCTTTAAATTAGTTTTTAAAATTTTTACCAAAAAAAAGTACTTAAAAAGATATAGGTTAGAAGATAAAACATCTAATTCCAGCCATTTAACCAGTATTTTCAGTGACCTCAAGAAAGTCTCTTTCAGATTTCCTACACTGTAAAAAACGGTATTTGAATTAGAATTGGAGGTTTCCAGTTCTGGATACTCATTAGAATTTAGGATGAGGATCACTTTAAATGTACTTGTAATAATGGTATGCTCTTTGCTGGGTGGGGGGAAAAAGTAGAAAAAAATTTCACTTAGAAATTTGTGTAAAGTCTTTATGAGTGAAATGACATCTGAATTTAACTTCAGAAAGACTTCAAAAAGAAAATTATAAAAACAAAAATAAACACATTATAAAGGAAAACAGAAGGGAAATGAAAGAAATGTGGGACAAAAAGCATAATATATAAAATTAGGTGATGTTATAATGGTTGAGTTGTCACATAGTAGTTCCTTCTCCCTGCATATGCATATTGTTGAAATTTTCCACAAAGATACACAAAAAATTTCCTCAAGCTCCAGTTTACCCTTTCTAGAAAGGCACATTAAATACTCTGAGTCAATAGTTCCCAGAGTATGGTATCCAGAGAACTGTCATTATTAGGGCATTTATCTGAAATGCAAATTATTAGAATCCCCCCACACACATCTATGGTATTAAAACCTCTGAAGGTAAAGCCAGCAATCATCATTCCTAAAAACCCTCCATAGGATTCTGATTTATGCTTCAATTTGAGAGTTACTATTCAAGCTTCATGTTAAAGCAAGCTAAAGTTCAATGTAAGAAGAAGCATACACAAACTTATATTTTGCTACATGGTACAGAATCTTCAAATAAAAATAAGAAAAAAATAATATTGTTTAGAGGATTAAATGGCATAACACATAAAAATACATTAGAATATGCCTGAAATAAGAATTAAATGAGGGACGGGCCAGTGGAGCTGGCGGCCCTGGCAAGTGATGGTGATCTGCGACCGGCTCTGTCGCTTGGTGGCTAGGTCTGTCTGTCTGTCCATCCAGGGGTGCCATCATGGCGGACGTGGCCAGTCAGGTGCTCCTGGGCTCTGGTCTCACCATCCTGTCTCAGCCGCTCACATATGTGAAAGTGCTCGTCCAAGTGGGATATAAGCCTCTTGCCCCAACAATAGGACGAAATATTCTTGGGTGGCAAGTATGTCAGCTTCCTGGTCTCTCTTGTTATGCTCAGCACATTGCAAGCATGGATGGGAGGCATGGGTTGTTCACAGGCTCAACTCCAAGACTGTGTTCAGGAGTCCTTGGAACTGTTGTCCTTGGTAAAGTTTTACTGCATTACCAGGAATTCGACAAGGTTGAGGAATTAGGACCTGCAAATGTTCAAAAAGAAAGCTCATCTTCCTTTGACCAAGTTATCAAAGCGACAACTCAAAAGATGATCACTCCTTCTGCTGCTACTCTCATCACACATCCCTTCCACGTGATCACTCTGAGATCTATGGTACAGTTCATTGGCAGAGATTCCAAGTACTGTGGACTTTGTGACTCCATAGTAGCCATCTATCGGGAAGAGGGCATTCTAGGATTTTTTGCGGGTCTAATTCCTCACCTCCTAGGTGACATCATTTCTTTGTGGCTCTGTAACTCACTGGCCTACCTCATCAATACCTATGCACTGGACATCGAGGTTTCCACTATGAATGAAATGGAAAGTTACTCCCAAACTGTCACAGGATTTTTTGCCAGTATGTTGACGTATCCCTTTGTGCTTGTATCTAATCTTATGGCTATCAACTGCTGTGGGCTTGCTGGTGGATGCCCTCCTTATTCCCCAATGTATAGTTCTTGAATAGATTGCTGGTGCACGCTACAGAAAGAGGGAAATATGAGCCCAGGAAATAGCTTGTTTTTCCCGAAGGTCCCCTTTGGGAAGACTTATTGTTGTGACCTGAGAATGTTAATTTGAAGATGTGGGACAGGGACAGTGAGATTTCTATAGTCCCAGACGCACAGAATTTTGGGAGAAAAATATTGATTTCTATACAGTTGGCATGCTTTTTTAATAATCATTTAATCTTGGAAAAATGGGGAAAAAGAATTAAATGAATACTGATTTTTGATTTATTCTGTTCATATATACTAGTTTACAAAAGTCATCTGGATTTTACATAAAAAGTATGAAAATTAAAGCATCTATTTACCAACTTTCTACTATGATTTATTTTATATTGACAACCAAAATATTCTGTTTATCTGAAATGAAATGTGTTAACGTTGCCTACAAAAGGACACTCATGGAGATTAAATAGCAATAAGTCTTGATCACATTATTTTGCCTGACATAAACAAAAATTTTATTCCTTCCATGATTTCAAAGAGTCTCGATACATTGTAAATCACTGATTTTTGTTGTATAGAAGAGTAGAATGTAATTTTTTTATGTTTAATCAGTTCTATAATTATTTCAAAGGACAAAATTTTCGCTGAGTGCACAGACCATTATCTATTCCAAAATATTTCAGCTACAATGTTCCTTAGATTTATTTTAAATGTTTATCTCTAATACAGGGTTACATGAACTCAAGAGTTGAGCCAAAGGCTACATCTTAATATTAAAGTTTTAATGGCTTTTTCAGGTAAAATGCAGATTGGTTGCTGCTATTATTTTGGGTGGTCATCCAGTTCCATCATCAATCAGCTATGAAATGTTAAACTCTATGAACTGTAAATTTCTTCATCATACTAGGAGAGTTTGGCTGAGTCACTGCAAAATCTGAAATATTCAATAACTTTAATGGAGAAGAGACTTGACCTTTTCTTCTAAATCTGTCAATGACTAGTTTTATGACTTGGATGAACCATTTAATCTTTTTAAACTTCAATCACCACACATATAAAAGAGAATGGACCAGATAAACCCCCAACTGCCTTTAAACTGTGTGTCTTTGTGTATACATTTTACCTAGGACACAGAATTTGAGAGTAAGTTCCAGAATATCTCAGACAAAAGGTAGTTTAAAAATTGGTGTAGCTCTGCACAACAATCAACTCAAAATGGGTCAAAGACCTATTAATTAGATCTGAAACTATGCCACTCCTAGAAGATAATATAGTGTCAACATTCCACACCTAGAAGATAACATAGTGTCAACACTCCAGCATATAGGTATATGAAATAACTTTCTCAATAGGATCTCTAAAGCTCAAGAAATAATGCCAAGAGCTAATAAATGGGATGACATCAAATTACAAGCTTCTGCACAGCAAAGGAAACAATTAGGAATCTAAAGCAAAAACCTGAAGAATAGGAGAAAATCTTTGCTAGCTACTATTTTGACAGAGGATTAATATCTAGACTATATAAAGAATTCCAAAAACCTTACACCAAAACATCAAATGACCCAATTAATAAATGGAGAAAAAAATTAAATAGACACTTCTTAAGAAATACAAATGGACAACAAATATAAGAAAAATGTCCAACATCATTAGCAATTGGGGAAATGCAAATCAAAACTACATTGAGATTTTATTTCATACCAGTCAGAATGGCAGTCATCAAGAATCCAAATAATAATAAATGCTGGAGAGGATGTGAAGAAAAAGGAACACTTTTACACTATTGGTAGAATTGTAAAGTTCTACAAGCACTGTGGAAATCAATATTCATATTCTTCAAAAGGCAAGGAATGGAGCTACCGTGTGACCGAGTTAACCCCTCCTTGGTATTTATACTTAAGAATTAAAGTCATCATACTACAGTAATATGTGCATGTTTATAACAGCAGAATTCACAATAGTCAGATACGGAACTAGCCTAGGTGTCCATTAGTGGATGATGGATAAAGAAAATGTGTTATCTATACACAATGGAGTTTTATTCAGCCATAAAGAAAGATTATGTTACTTTCTGGAAAATGGATGGAACTAGACACCATTATGATAAGTGAAATAAGTCAAACTCAGAAGGTTAAGAGTCATATGTTTCTTCTTATGTGAAATCTGGAGAGAAAAAAGAAAAGTAAAGTTGGAGGTGGATATTATGGAAATCAAAGAGAGGTTAGGGAGGGAGTGGGGAAGTACTGGGGAGTGTATTGGCCAAATTATATTTGTTATGTGTATGTACAAATATGTAACAACAAATACCACCATTATACACAAATATAATTCACCAATAAAAGTTGTTGAAAAAATGGGTGGTAGATTGTATGAGCTTTGATTTCCTTGTTTTGGGAGCAGTAAGTTATAGCTAGCCAGACAATAAGGTTATCATGATTCATGTATGATTTAACTCAATATTGCAATGGTTGGGTACATATAGAAATATGTGATCACACACAGACATATTGCTTAGTACATACACATTCCTTTGCTTAGTCAGCAGAAAGGAACTATAAGCAACAGTACACCTATAGCAATAAACAGATTCCCATCCTAGGGCTCTCTGGAATGTGATTTGAAACCACTCTTGGAAACTAAATAAATAAATCCAGATCTTGGTTGCTAATATCATTCACCAATTAAAACATCCAAGATTCTTTGGAGAAATTGCTATTTCTATGATTCAGTCAGAAGTTATACAAAATGAGCCAGGAGAATCTAATTTTGTTAGGGAATATTTGAAACAATATCCAGAATTATGAGTTTCGGTAGAGTCAGAGGCCACCTGAAAGAGCTCCTAACAGCCAACGCTAGAGGGATTTAAGCAACAAAATAAAGTAGTATTGGATTTATAGCCTAAGGTGATATAAATAATTGAATAAATAATTGAGAAAATTAGAAGAAATAAACCTCTCACGTAGAATCATAAATAATTTATGTATTTACTCATTGCTCAATAGAGAGAGCTAAAGTACCTATTCCTTAAGTGTGGGCTATGCATAGTTAGGTTCTTCCAAAGAGTACAGAGTGAAAATAGGTAAAAAGAAAAACTTTCCAGTGGCTAAATTGACAAATAATACTCCAGCCAAGTGATCAAGGTCAATATCATATAATGTATGTACTCTTGATATACTGTGATGTAAGTGGTACTTTAACTCTGTGATCTTCTTCCTCACCTTTCACAACACAAAATGAATCATGAGGAAAATATTTTTAAAAATTGAGAAAAACTACAAAATACCTGATCACTATTCTTCAAAATTATCAAGGTCATGAAAAATAAAGTCTGAGAAACTGTCCTATCCAAGATGATTAGAAGCAGATATGATAACTCAACATACTGTGGAATCCTAGGTGTGATACAGTAACAGAAAAAGAAAGGCACTAGTTATAAATTAAGGGAATTTTAATAAAATATTAACTTTAGTTAAAGATAGTGTATCAATGTTGCTCCAAGGGTTGTGAAAAAGGCACAATAATAAAAATGTTTTACATGCAGAATATAAAAGCTGAAAGTGACCTGTACCCAACTTTTCTATATTCTAAAATAAAAATAATATAAAATTTAATCCTTTAAATATGATGACTGAATCAGAGATTATAATTTATTAGCATTTTACAGGACATTATCATACTTTTTCTGGATGTTAATTTTTTGATTCAGAAATATAGTTTTTTGATACTTGACATTTTTCTTGTAACTTTAATGATAGGGCTATAATGCTGTTTCAAATGTTGACATGCTGATATGAATAACAGTCGATCAAAATTGAAATGCATTGTTCAAGAAGTTTTAGTAGGTACCTTAATGGTCCTCTCATGAAAATAGGAATGGAAAGGCAGCTTTACAGGATGCTATAATTGTCATTTTAGAATTGCAGGGGAAATCTATTTCAATAAAAACTGGAAGATTTTGTAGACTTTCTGTACGGACTTCACATGTTTCTATTTTTAACTTTATTCATGACTGTCTTATCATTACATTTGAATTTTATTTTATTAGCCATGTCTTTATGTCTCCTAGGAGTGCTATAGTTGCAAATGAGGAATAGCAAAGATTAGATGGTAAATCTGACTGTAACAGAGGCTTGATTTAAAATTTAGTAGCAATATTTGATTCCGAGGACTTGTTATCTTTTAAAATAAAGTAAAAATAGCAGTAGTTTTTGAATAGCAGTAGTTGTCCCCAGCTTGTCTAATGTAGTTGGTTTGCTTAAATATTTTCAGTGTCCCCTCTATTTATCTGTCTCAACTGACAGCTCTTCACTTCACCTTTCCTGCTCTCAGACAACATGGGGAGGAAGGAGTCTTACTCTCCTCCCCCATTCACTTTCTCAAACCCTCAGGGAAGCCAAAATGTCAGCTTTTGACTCTGAAAAATATTCATTCATCACATGGAGTTCATTTCTATTTTATACTCTTCTTCCTTGTATTGTTTTCTAAACAATATAATAATTCCAGTATATAAGCAATTATAAGAGAGGAATCGGGTCATTACTTTTAGTTGTCGTCGTCTTTCTTAACCCAGTTAAGTGATGTCTCAGAGTTATCATTCAAGAATGTATTACTGATGATCTCTGATTTTATTATTTAAAAGAAAAAACACGATAGCTTGCACATTTTGCAGTGTCTCAGCTCCTAAAGATAGGGGAAACATTAAAGTTTAACACATTTTTTAAAACTACATATCAATATGTTGGTTAAATTTTATTTAAGAACAGATTGACTCTATTGTAAAAACCAAGCATACCATAGTATAACGTAGAAATTCTATCTTTCCTCTCATTTATTTTTCAATTTTTAGTAAAAATGTAGTTTTGGAGGGTATGGAGTTTGACAAGTTCTTCAGCAATATCTACTCAGTTTCTATAAAGAGTTTCTAGAGTCATAAATCCTGAATGTTATTCTATATGTACGTCATTTCATTATTAACACACCTTTAGCTTCTCAACACATTAGAATCTCAAAACACCTTTAGTTTTATGTAAAAAGCCCATAAAACACCTTCATCTATATAGATGGAACATCAAAAATCTTATCTGGATTTCAGTGGTGCATGGAACAAATGAAGATATCAATTACCTTGAGGATAGGAAAATCCAAAGAAAAGGCAGGAATAGTTGATATCTGGGAGAGGGTCAGAGAGAGAAAGAACAATGTTGATGAAAATTAAGTCCTTAATTAGAAAAGGGTCAACACAG